GTTGCAAAACGGGGTTGGGCGGCACCCCCTCCAGCCTCTCCACTCTATCGAGCCACGAGTTTGCCTTCACGCATATCCCACGTGAATCCTGTCGAAACCTTTTTTCTAAACCCTAAACCCCAAACCTTGAACCCTAAACCCCTAAACCCTAAACCCATGGTACGAGTGTGGTGTTGCCAACTGCCTCCGAGGGCTATGGCGGCTACGGAGGATACCCTGCGCCGGGTCGGGTCCTCACGGCTTTGTGGGCTACGTCCGGCCGTTCCGACCAGAAGGAGTTTAAAGTTCTGAAATAGTTTTCAGGGTGTTAGGTTGTAGGGGTCAGTGTTTTGGCTTAGGGGCTTTAGTGCGTTGTGCGTGCGCCTCAAGCGGATGGACAGCCCTACAATTAGAAGGTACAAGTCAGTACAAGGGTGTAAGTTTGCAGATAGGGTACACATTTGCACAATGTTCAAGGTAAGCAAGAAATATAAGGCATACCTGAAGCCCTCGACCCTTCACGTGTAAAACCTAGCTGCTAAACCCTGAACCCAAACCCTAAACCTAGCTTTGTCAGTCGCAATCACGGCACCGTCGAACGTTGCAGGAAAAGCCTCCATTCGTACAGCTGCAAAAGCAGCCATGCGGGAGTTTCGGACACTCGGGTCCCTTGTGTTTCAAAGGTATATGATACTATTGAGGGGTGTCTGCCAGGGTCCTGAATTGTGAACCACCCCTATGTGGGTAGTTCTCTAAACTAGGGTCCATTGTGGGATCCTGCTTACAAGGGTGCCGTACCATTCTGGGGACCTACAGAGGGAACCCTAAACCCTGAACCCCTGATTTGGAGAACTACCTATGTGCATCGGGAAGCAGCTCAGAGGGAGGCATCCTGACTTGGGACGCACCGGAGCGAAAACAAGAACTTGCAGAAATTGTCCAAGACTCCAGAGTCGTATAGTTACGAGTCCCTTTCACAGTTTAGGGGACATTCATCAATTGTGGTTTGCATAGGAGTACAACATCCATTAAGTAGGTTTCTCGTAGTAAGGGCATAATATACCGAAGAATCATGGGATTTTTGGTGGAGGCTCCGGGTAGGTTTCCTCCACTGCTCACCCTAAACCCTATATAAACCGTTCACCTCACCTCCACACCGAATCGAGGCTACGGAGCCTACGGCGGCGCACCGCCGGGGCCACCTGCAGATCGGGCAGCGCGGGCCTTGGGTAGCTTTTGTTAGTGCTAAGATAAGAGTACGGCCGTTTGTGCAGCTTTTGGGGACGTGCCCTTCATGTTGTTAGTCTTGTTTTGCATTTGCAATACTCTTCATGCCCGAATGTTTACTCCTCGATGCTGGCCAATGTTTACTCCTCGATGCTGACCGTGACATGACGACTGTCATCGTATATACAGATGGAGGTGATGATCATCATGGTTATTGTCGTTGCCACCACCATTATCATCATATCGTCGTTTTATTTCATAACATACTTGGAGACATGCTTTCACATTCCGGGATAAGGAAGCAGCCAGACACGGAATGTTGAGACGTACTGTTTTGCTTTATGACGGTCTGTGATTCATGTAAAGCGGTGGAAGATGGTGGACAGCAATACAATCGCCTTAGGATCGCCTCATACACTTAGTGGCTGGAAGACTCCCAGCCAGCTACATGTGCGGCTGACTATGCCAGGAGTCTCCTTGTCTTCATAGCAGATATGCTGGCAAAGCCGCTGTTGTCAAAGCCGATAACACCAGTCCCTCCCTGAGCGCCCCCAGGATCTGTGAGTTGCGGACAGGTCAACGCACCGGCCGATGAAAGCCCAAAGGCTCCAAAAACACAGAACTTCGCCAGTCGCGTAAACCGCCAAACCCGCCACACCCAACAAGAAGATAAAGTTGCGTTCCTGTTCTGAGTTCTGCATGCCGATGACGACGACAGCGACCACAACAACAAGTACAAGTACTACATACTACGATAGCACCAACACCAACAACGACGACGACGACGACTACTACTACTACTACTGGTACTACTGCCACTGCCACTCCCACTCGCCACCACCGCCGCCACCACCACCACCACCACCACCACCACCACCACCACCAGCAGCAGCAGCAGCAGCAGCACCAGCAGCAGCAGCAGCAGCACCACCACCACCACCACCACCACCACCACCACCACCACCACCACCACCACCACCACCACCACCACCACCACCAGCACCACCAGCAGCACCAGCAGCACCAGCAGCACCAGCACGGGCACGAGCAATAGCACTAGCACTATCGGTACCACTACCATTGCCACTACCACCAGCACTCGGACTAGACTAGCACTAGCACCAGCACTAGCACTGCCAGTAGGACTAGCGCTCGCACGAGCACTAGCACCAGCACCAGCACTGGCACTAGCACTAGCCACCACCACCACCACGACCACGACCACTATCACTATCCCTCACGCTCCCACTCCAAACACCACTCCCACTCCCGACTGCCACTGCGACGACGACGACTACTGCTGGAAGCTCCCCCGAGGATTTCATGTTAGGCGGTGTTCCCAAAGGTTTGGATCCTTCTTTGGGGTCCTTTGAGAAGGATCCTACCATGTCGTGTTGATCATTTAGTCCCCGTTTCTCTGAAACTCCCTCATATGGGACGCATGTTGTTGTTCAGAGGCAACAGGTGGTTTGATTGTCAGGGCAGCGGTTTACAACAGAACATGGATTCCTAAGCATGGTAACTTAAAGTGCAAGTTTCTCAGCCAGACCCCTTACATCCTTCAAAAAAAAACCTTCCTACAGCCCTTATACAGTAGAAGCCAGAAAGTTGGAATATCATTATCCTCATACCCTTAAGGTGTTGTATAAGGAATCCGAGCTCTCCAACTTTCTGGAGGTTCACCATACAAATACAGTAAACCCCATAAAGTTGGAAACCGGATTTAGGCCAAGTAGTGCTGGGGTTCCCTATACATTACTCTTAAGGATCGAGGCTATTGGGTTTCCAACTTTTTGGCTTCTACTGTACGCAGCCGGCGTCCCCAGGCACCCTATTGAGCTGCAGTTTTGGGCCCCCCGGCGTCGGCTCTCCCGGCTGCTGGGCAGGCGCCGGGTACATGGGGAGGTAGTATACTAGAATAGGGTTTGGGGGTATAGTATACTCTATTTGTAATTCTCAGCCCGCAAAACCCTATGCTAACGATTAAGGCCCCTACATTCGCACGGGGATTTCTAGCGGTCTGTGAGGGGCTTTGAATGGGGGTGTCTTGCTCTCAGGCTTTTGCAAAGGTCTGAGAGCCAGAGGGGCTTCTGAAGGTTTCGGATGTTTGGGTTCAGGGTTCGGGTTTGGGGTTTTGGATTTTGGGGGTTAAGGGTTATAGGGTGTAGGGTTTATTCTGGGATCGTAAGATTTAGCTTCGGCAACGTTCGGGATGCTTCGTCTTGCCTTCTGTGGCTTGGGAATATACCTATATTTAAATAAAGGGTGGCCCATATTCAGGAGCCTGTGCCTTTCCAAGAGGGGCCGGTTTAGGGAAGAGGGACCGGTTTAGGGTTTAGGGAGTTTAGGCGTAGGACTGTTGGTGCATAGGCTTCCTGATGTGGTACCTTGCACCAACTTGCGCACTTCTCGAATCCGAAGCACAACTCCAGGTTTACCCTAACGCCAAATAACCTACCTTTTTAAGGACTGATATAAAGAAATCAGATTAGGGAACCTGAAAAAGGTAGGTTCCTTAGGGTCCAGGTAGGTTTAGGGTTCGGAAAAGGTTTCGGGGTTAATTCAGGGTTGAGGCTTAGGGTTGATTCAGGCTTTGGGTTGTGTTTAGGCCTTGGAGTGTTTCTAGGCATGTGGTGGGGGCCGACATGGCCGCTTACAGGTGTATGCGGCAACTTCCTCGCAAGACGAAATACTGGAAGAGAGCAGAGGGGACAAGAGGCCAGAGAGTAGCAAACTACACAACGACCCCAAACCCAAATCCTAATTCCCTAAGCCCTGAACCCGAAACCCTTACCTACACCCAAAAAGCACAAAGCCCTAAACCCGCTTCCAGGTGTCATGATGCGAGAGACCAGGACCTGAGGATGCTAGTCGTGTTAGGGTCTCTTGTAAAAAAACGCATTGAAAGCCGTTTAGGGTTTAGGGCATTATGTCTGAACAAAAGAGGCATGGTTCTGTTCCACCCATCTAGAGAAGTTGATCGGAGTGCTGATCTGCAGCGTTGAGTGCGGCAGCTCTTTATGAGTATGGGGAAAGTGTTTTACCACTACCGACTGACCAGCAGACAGCCCGAAGTGGGCGTGCTGCCGCAGTGATGTATCAGCTCCTGGCAGTGCCTGATTCAGAGCCACTCGAGCTGCCGTGGAGATTCAAAGAGTGCGTGCACTTAGGGCATTGACGAAGCACACCACGACTTAGTCATAACATCGCCTCCTAGCCCTTATATGGGTGGTTGTCGAAATTAGGGTCCTTATTTGGGTCCTTATCATAATACGACACCTAATATTTAAGGGACCCAAAAAGGGACCCTAATTTAGACAACCACCCATATAAGTTTAGTAGCTAATTCCCCGACAACCCTGTTCTATTCCCCTAGCATTGAGTTGCTTTTGTCGTTTTTCCACACGATGCTTTGGCAGGGGACAGTCGGAAACTGGAGGAAACCCTGTTGAAACTGTTCACAGTCGGCACCTGACTTCGGGATCCTCATAATAAGGAATCTACAATTCAAGCTAGCAGGATGCTAAACATAAGGAGCGCGAATTTAGGGTTCTTCAATCGGGCCTCTGATTTTCTGCCACCCCCCACTTCGACCGAAATCTTCGCACTGCATGAAGGTCCGAGATGCGCGGTGCAGAGCATGGGACTGGCAAGAATCTACCTGAGGACTCAACGAGTGAAAGGCTTCATGAAGAGGGCCCAACATCGATCAAGTCTGAACATAGATGCCCGTTTAGGGTTTGGGGTTTAGGGTCTAGGGTTTCCCAGCCGCTTTCCAGTCGCATCTTGGCGCCATGGGGGGTCGGCGCCGGCGCGACCGATCCCCGTGTGGAAACTCAGAGAGCTTCTTTGTGGACCGAAGATTTCGATTCGTGTTCTCCCATGTCATAGCACCCCACCACACTACTTGGGAGTTTCCGAAAATAAGGGACCCTAATATTCTACCCCAGCTAGTAGGATCCCTATTATAAGGACCCCAAAGGAGACACCCCTAATTCTCGGAAACTCCCACTTCACTTTGATGCAGGCTGGCACTCGATAGAATCGCCATGGTTCTCAAGCGGGGTAAGAGCCGTCCCCAGCTTCGAAACCGTAAACCCTATAAACCTTGAGGCCCTAAGCCCATCTTGGAAGCCCAGCCGCTTGAGTCTCGGAGTGGAATACAGAGCCCTGAAGAATCCCTCTAAAATCCCTTTTGAATACCGAAGGCTCTTAAAAAAAAGGCGCGTTCCTTTGCAAAGGTCCTACAGCGACTACTACTACAGCGATGAGAGCAGAAGCCCGTCACGCGATAGGCGGCGACGCCGCAGGCCGCTTGCATCCTTCGGCACGTCCCAGATGGACTTCCGGGCATTACTCGCTGGTTCTTAGTAGGGAATGGGAGTAGTCCCTTAAGGTCCCTTGTACGAGAGTAGTCCCTTGAGGTCCCTTATAGTAGTTCGTATAACCATTCCCTCGAGTCCCTGTTAACCAGGGGGATGAAGCTTATCACTTGTAGTGACCCCTTTTGCGGCGTGGGACGCAGCATCAGTGGAAGGATGTACACTGGCCCAGCCTGCTCTTGCCTAGACCCCCCAAATGTAGGGAATATAATGGCCCAAAACCTATAAAAGGCTATTATTCTACTTTTGGGGTCCAGGTGAAGACTACAGACTTGGACAGACATAGCTACACAAAGAATCCGTTTCTCCTAGCGAGTGCACATGCAAGAAGTTTACCTGCGCTGTAGGTTCGGTCCTACGGCCTCGAGCTCTCATTGGTGACCCTTATATAGACCCGGTGCGATCCGTTCATGAGGAGCACGGAAAGAAACAATCAAATTTTTAAGCATCACTGTTCTACCATAGCCCTTTTCAACTCGTGCAAAGAAGCCCTATGCAGGGTACTCCTGCAAAGGCATCCTTCCAAAACCCTGCACCCATAACCTGAGCCCCAAACCTCAAGAAGCACGCCCAGCCCCCCAAACCCAAACCCCAATTTTTACGGTTTAGGGTATAGGGATTAATTATATATAGAACCCTTATAGAACCCATAGAACCCTACTAGAGCACCAATAAAGCCCCGAAGAAGTGTTCTTGGAGGCGACGAGGCTCTCGCAAGCGGCGTGGCGGCGGCGGAAAGGGGACGAGCACTGTCGACAGGTGGATTTTGGGCATCGGGGGTTAATTTTGTCGGGTTTTAGGGTTTGCAGTTTACGGTTTGTGGCTGGTTTAGGGTTAGGCTGGGGGTTTAGGGTTCAATTAGCGATTGTTTCAGGGTTTGGGGCCCGCATAGCTAAAAGCCTTATACTGTAGAGGTTCCGATTATCAGATTTCTGAAACTTGAGGCGAGCTTTAACTAGAGATTGCTTTGTGAGTTCATCCTTTTGCAGGCCTTGAAAGGGCTCCGTATTTGGGTAGTTCTCGAAATTGGGGTGCTTCTTGGGGTCCTTTTGATAAGGGTGCGGTACGGTATCTGGGATGTAAGAAGGTACCCTAATTTAGAGAATTACACACTTACAGGCCCAGAAGTTTCTTTAACTCCCAGGTGTAGCTCCCCCAAAGCCGGCAACTAACCTCATGGCCAATTCGTAGAGATGTACCAGATTTCGGGTATACCTGGACCCAAAATAACCTACCGTTTTAGGGTTCCCTAATCTGGTTTCTTTCTGAAAGTCCCTAAAAGGTAGGTAGGTTGTTTGGGGTTATGGTAAGAGGAACTCCATCGTCATGGTGCCCTTCGTTTCAAGGGTCTGAGAGATGCTGTTCGGGCAGGTAATATAGGGGCTTTGCAATGGCAGCCTCGGGTGGGAAGCACCCTTTCGAGTGGTACACCACCAAAGGCTTCTGCGAGCATCAAGGTGCAGAGTGGCTTTTGATTTAGGCTCTTCTCCAGTCAGCTGCGAACGTAGAAGTCGCACCTTGAAGGTTCATTCGGGAGAACGAGCTCAGTGAATCAGCGGCCGCACGCCTTCGTGGCGCAGCGCGTGAGGCACAGCCCCCAGAGGAGTGGTCAGAAGGGTCTGCATGGTCTAGAGTCTAGAGTCCGGGAAAGAACGGTCCTACAGGACACACGACGACCCTGCAAAAGTGATGTAATTTTGCAGTTTGTCGACCACCGGCAGCAGGATCTGCTGACAGTGTGCCAAGCTCCTTTGCTTAGGCCTCGGCGTCGAAACAATGCCTGAATGCAACCGATGTTGACTCGAGAAAATTGCAGGGTCTCCGGCTACCGTTTCACGCGGAAACGGGGCCGAGGTCTGTGAAGCAAGTCTGTTACTCCTGAATCCGCCCGAGGTGCGGGATGCATGCATCGACCAAGGATGGAACGTCTCCTGGCTGCCCATTTTTAGTATATAAGTCATTCCTCTCTGTGCATCTGCGGTCACCCCATGGCCCATGGCCCGTGGCAGAAAACAGCAAGGGCATGCATGCACCAGGCCTTGAAACAACCTGTAAGCTTCCGCTTGTTAACGGGGCTGCGTATGTGCAGAGACTCCTGATTGATGTCTTGCACGTGGGAACGAAGTGCAGACAAACATAGACTGGGTCCTACAGGTTTAGGGTTTGGGGTTGATTAAGGATTTACGTTGAAGGCCAAATAAGCCTGAAGCCCTGGGTCATCCTGGGTCGTAGCTACTGTTAGGCTCGGTGTTCTCTGCAAACACCGCCGCAACGCAACACACCAAGCCCAAGACACTTCCAGAACACCACTGAACTTTTCTGTATTTCTTTTGGGGGGCTGTTGTGTCCAGCGCCCCTCTCACCGGCGGGTGACGCTGAAGCTGAAGTTGAAGAAGCAGGAACGTCTTGGATGCCTCCAGATTGGTTTGCTAGATTGTCATCGGCGGCAAGAACTCGTTTCGTGCGTCGCTGAGGTGATCGAGAATGCCCGCAATGCCAGCGCAGTCGTGGTCTCACGGATAAAGCCCACCTGCCCTGTATTGTTAGGGGTTACTGAGTTTAGTGTTTAGGGTGTCACTTTCTTCTTCGTCACCGTGGGATTTAGCCAAACGTGCAAAACGCGAGATCTCTTGGACTGCACCTCCTGAGAACATTCGGACAATCCCTGAAGCTGTTCCGAGTGAAGGTGGTTTCAGCAGAGCAGGCTTTCTCTCAAAAGCAGTCTGTACAGGAATAAAGGGCCCAAAATAGTTAAACACCAATACTGGCCAATACTATTTTGGGGTTGGTTTTCGTTTTTGTAGTGCAATATAATACCCCAAAACCCTGTTCTAATTATCTAGGCGCCCGTATCAGGGTGTAAGGTCCAAGGTTCTTCAAGCATCTCTCACAGCGTTGCATCTCGAGTCAGCCGGTGCAGGACAGACATGTTTGTTCTTCCGTCGCAGTACCACTTGAGGGTTCATGGGACTTAGTAAGTACAGTTATAAGTACCGTATATCCAATTATGAGTATAGTTTTCCTTATTCATAATCCATAGTTACTAAGTCCCATGAACCTTTGAGCATGCCATGCCCGTAATGAGCTGACTGTGGCGCCGTTAGGTCTTTATATTCTTGGTCCCTTCGGGGCATCTCCATGCGAGCCTGAATCTCAATCCTGGCCACTTGCTCAACAAAAGCTGCAGAACCGGCCTGGACGGTACCTACACATACTTATATATGTATAAAAGTCAAGGTTCACATATTTCTATGTATCTGTATATACATAATATATAATTACACAGATAACTGCACGTATAATATAAAGCTATATGTACATGTTGTTGCTAGCCCTAAATACTCGACACGAAAGCAGCTGCCAGGAAGATCGAGGACTCTATGAAACTTGACTGCACTTAGCAATGTTGTGTTCAATCTGTATTGTGATATCAACTTATATAAGGGGAGTAATGAGAATACTATCTTTATTATGGTAATGGCTTGGGGAGACTAATATTAAGAATCTTATACCCTAAACCCTAAACCATGAACCCTAAACTATAGTTACTATAGTTGCTCTTCTGGTTCTCTGGGCGGCTAAGGAAAGGGGGCGGAGGAGGAGGTGGGGGGCGGGACCGCTCCCGCAGCCCTCCCCCGCGATCCGGCGGCGGAGGAGGCGGAGGAGGAGCTGCGGGGAGTTTTGGGGGGGTTTAGGGGTCAGGGGGTTTAGTAATTTAGGGGTTTACGGTTCAGGAGGTTTAGGGTTTAGGGGTTTAGGTTTGGGGAGTTGTCCTTTCGGGTTTTGGTAGGATTCTGTGATTCGGATTTTGTAGGGTTTGGGGAGTTTGGGAGGTTTGGAGGACGGGGAAAGGATGCTTGCTACCTTTATCATCGCCTGCTGCAGTGGCTTGTTGGACTTGAGAATTCAGAGTCCGGGTTCACTGAGTCAGGACAGGGAATATTACTGCAACACTGCAGCATGTCGGAGACTTATTTGCATATGACAGACAATTGCTTGAGACCGAGTGCGACAGCATTTTCCCCCGCACACCCTGGCACGATCGCTTCATGCATCCGTATGTAGAAATGCGTGCATTCATACATACATGCATACATGCATACATACGTGCGTACGTACATACAGACATCCATCCATCCATCCATCCATCCATCCATCCATCCACCCATCGACAGGCATGCATACGGCCTTGCATTGGCCCGTGGGCTATCTCGGGGTTCTGTGGAGCCGCCCCATGTTTCAGTGTTGATGCTTGCGGAGTCATGCTCTTAGATCAAGGTTAGGCACGTTAACAGACGCAAACTGAAGGAGGTGATGTCCGAGAAGGAGACTGGCGTCATGCTGAGAAACTTAGGTTTAGGCTTTCATTTTGTTTTTAGGGTTTAAGGTTCTGGGCTGACGATTTCAGCGATTGTGATTGGTGCAGCTTGTGGACCGTCAAGCCTTTTTTCAGCTGGAGTGTCGTATGCTGCTTCGATCGACACAAATAATAGGGGCCTCAATAATTACCAACACTATTTTGGGGGTTCCTTGTTTGAATTATGGTATAATGTACCCCCCCAGACCCCAATCGAATTATGAAGGCCCCTATATTATGCTGCTTCGAGCGAAATATTCCCCTTTCTTTCACTGGTTTGATGTCTCCTGACGACTTTCGCGAATGGGTCTACCATTACTACCATCAGGGCCTTAATAACTCGAACAGGGTTTGGAGATCTGTTAAACTATAATTATGAAGGCCGTCTCTAGGTTAGTCTTCGCTAAGGCACTGCAAGAGCTGTGGCGCTCACAATTTCGCCCGTCGCACAGAGTGCTTCAAGTTTCTTGGACAACAAAAAAGAGCTTTACCCAGAGGCCCCATAGCAGTTCCTTTTTGGGATTAAAGATTCTAAGTACGAACACCAAAAAGGAACTACTATGGGCCTTCGGGTATATGGTCTGTTAAGGGTAGTTCAGGGGTCGGAAGTCCTGGTCGTGGTATTTCCCGGGGCCAAATATACCGCGCCTGTAGCTAAATACAACTCCACAATTCCACAAACCTTTAGTCCAGTTGTGTAGGGCCCTGTACAAGCCCTATCGCTTACACCGCCTTTCAGACCCTTTCAAGAGCAGTTTAGCTCGTAGATGTCCCTGTGCTGACCATCCTGCCTGAGTGCAAAGGCCGAAGGTCCAAGTGATGTTATGAAGGCCTAAATGATTTCCAATATTGTTCCTTATGGTTCATTATACTATAAGAAAGGAGCCCAAGACCCTATTCTGATGATTAGAAGGCCCCTACATTCTAGTCTCTTATACTAACCCTCATAGACCCCCTTGAAAGAGCCCTATTCTAATGATTAAGGCCCCTACATGAGCCAAGTAGCATGACGCTTAGGGTGTAGGAATCAGCTTGCGCTGTGAAGGCCCCGCGGTCACACCCCTGAACGATAAGGGTTCTATATCAGGTGCTTTACAGTTACCAATACTACATGGGGGGTTCCTCAATTATAAGTACTTTTAGTATAATGGGCCCCAAAACCCTATTCCACGTATTAAGGCCCCTATATTAAACTCTTTTGGGTCGTTTACAATTTCAAGGGCTTGAAGGTAGATTCGGATGGAGTTCGAACGCTAAACTGAAACCCGAAGCCCCAAAACCCCAAAACCCTAAACTTAGGCCCTAAACCCTAACCCGGAAACCAGAACCCTAAGCCCAAACCCCAAAACCCCAACACACCAAACCCAAACCGCGAAACCCTAAAACTCAGACCCTAAATCCAAACCGCTAAACCCGAAAACCCTAAACCTCAAACCCGTAGAATTACACCCAAACCCCTAGCCCGTAAAACTCCACCCAAGCCCCTAACCCGTAAAAGCCTAAACGCTAACCCTGAAACCCTAAAATTACACCCAAACCCCTAATCCGTAAATCCCTAAACCCCAAACCCGAAACACTAAGATTACGCCCAAACCCCTAACCCGTAAAACGCCGAACCCTAACCCGTAAAACCCCAAACCCGAAACCCAAAGCCCAAATCCCTAAAACGACATTAACCTGTAAAAACCTTAAAACGCTAACCAGAGACTCCCATATCACTATATCCCTTAATTATAATATACCCTAAATCATACTAGAAATCCTACTATATTAAGGGATATTGGAGTCTCTGTGTAAAGCCCTACCCATCCCTCAATTAAGGAATATATACCTTAAATCATATGAGGGATCCCACTATATTAATTGTTGGAGTCTCTGGGCAAAACCTAAACACTAAACCCTATCCATCCTCTTAAAGAACCCTAAGCCCCTTATAACCCTACTTATCACTGACCATGAACCTCCAAGTAGGGTAAAACCAGGTGCGGTGCACCCCGCGGAAGCTCTCGCTCTCGCGGGCGCTCGCGGTCCCGGAGTCGAAGCTGAGACTTCGACTGCCGCAATGCGGCTCCCTAGGGGCTGGGTATTACATACCTTAACCTCCCAAAACCTACTGTTTTGTAGGGTCCCTATGTTTTCCATATTAGGGTGTATAATAAGAGCCTACAAAAAAGTAGGGTTTGGTAGTTTAAGGTAGGGTGCAAGGCTTAGGGGTTCAGGGTTTATGGTTTAGGCTTCTGGGTTTGGGTTTAGGGTCTAGGGTTCGGCTGCCACAATGCGGCTCCTTAGGGGCTGGTTCATCTATAGGGACTCACATTGACATAATTACCTATATTATTCTGGGGTTTCCTTATATCTATAGTAGAAAGGGCCCCCCAAACCTTATTCTAATTATCAAGGCCCCTAGATTATGACAGGAATAGGGTTTTTAGGGCTTACAGGTTCAGGCTTCAGGAACTTAGGGGCCGGGTATTACATAGGGTTTAGGGGTTTAGGGCTTAACGGTTCAGGGTTTAGGGTTCAGGGACTAAGGGCCTGAGACTGATAGTAGCTTGCAAGGTTTTACAAGGGGGTTTGGGGTTTCGGTTTTTCCTGAGGCTTTACAGGGCGTCTAATGGTGTTACAGTGGTTTAGAAGGTCTTGCATGGGGTTTGATGGTGTTTTCTGTACCTCAGCCCCCAAGTAACCTACCTTTTTAATCACTTACATAAGGAAATCATAACAAGGAACCCTAAAGCTGTAGGTTATTTGGGGTACCTAAACCTCTACACGGCGGTCGTTGAATAGGGTGTAGAAGGGTAGTACCAAGAGACTCCTAGGGTTCCTTTAAAGGGATCTATAAGGGTTCCTGTAAGGCTTTTAAAGGGATCTATAAGGGTTCCTGTAAGGTAGTTGAATATACCTTATATCATATAGGGACCCTACTATACTTTAAAGGTTCATTCCTTCATTAGTCAGTCTCTGGGAATAACTTCCAATACTATTCCTTACGGTTCTCTATGAAAACTACCTGCAGCCGAAAAGACCTACCTTTCTAGGGTTCCTAATTATGGTTTCTATATATGGCTCCTTAAAAATGTAGGTTTTTTAAGTCGCAGGTAGCGTATACCATGAACCAGAATCTCATTCTAACTATTCATTGACAGAGTAACACCACCCCCCCATGTTACGTACTTTTCTGGGCTTGGGTGCTCAGCCCCTCGAGGCTGAAAAGGTAGAAGGCTCTGTGTTGGGCTCTCTGTTCTGCAAAGATCTGCTCGCGGGCTCGGAGTCTTAGTGACGCAGTGTTTGAGAGCAGCATTTCGACGTCAAGCGGTGTCCGACTTGACGACTGGGTGCAGACGTCCTGCGGTTTTTGCTACAGCAATAATTAATTGTTTGGCTGCAAGTGAGATCTCAGACACAGTGCCTCTGCTTGCAAACGAGTGCCCAACTCGGAAAGCCATGAGGCAGGCAGGAGTGGTTGTGCAGCTCGCTGCAATGACACCTATGGTTCGCACTGCAGTAGAGCAATACACATGTCGCGAGTATAATACAGGGGCCTTAATGGTTAGAATAGGATTTTGGGGCCCATTACTTGTACTATAATTATAGTACAGACCACCCCAAAAAATAGTACCGGAAATCAGGCCCCTATAGTAATGACTGAGCCGATGACAGTCCATGAGGCGTCGTAGTGTCATTGCCGCGAGTTTTAGAAGGGCTGGGAGCTGAGGTGCTTGAGATGTTGCAGCGGACGCTTGCGACGGACAAGTCGGGATTCCGGAGTCTCCTCTCCTAGTCAGATCATGGAGCACAGTTTGCCTTCAAGTTAGATGCACTTTTCTATTAGATGATGCCTGCCCATTTTGCGAACAGCTTTGGATGGGAGAGGTCTCAAGTTGATTTTTTGGGGGACATCCGTCGCAAGTCGAGCTGCAAGCGAATCAGAAGGCTTGAGCCACTTCGCCATCCGCGCTAGAAGTATAGAAAAGTTGGCCGACGAGTACTCTGTGCATTGCATGTGCAGGACAGACATGCCATTGACTTGTTTCCTTTATGCGATCTGGTCTTAGTGCTCTTCTTCGAAGGTCCGATAAACGGAAAGTACAAGGGCAACCATACGACCCTGAATATCGATTTACAGGGGTCCGGGTAGATCTGTCTATCGATTGCAGCCCATGTTCGGTCTATCCTTCCTACAAGCATTTACAACACATAGAATTGTGGGTTCCATGTTTCGCCTGTCCAACTCAAAAGGAGCAGCATAGCAATACTCACGGCTCCTTATTAGACGAACGGTGCAAGATACGCCAAAACCTCATTCTAAGCATTAAGGCCCCTCTAACCCTAAACCCGATAACCCCAAACCCTAAACCTTATAGATTCCATTATAGATCCCTTTAAAGGAAAGGCTTCCTACAGATGCCTTTCTATAACGGAGCCCTAAAGAACCCTGAAGATCTGGGTGCTTGCGTTTCCATTCATTGCCACGATCACCTTCCTGCTCAAGCTTGGTAGAAACACTGTTCAGAGAGCCCAGAGAGTCCAGTTGTTGAAGGAGTATACCTAAAAATGTCGAGGGGGGTGTCCCTAGAACTGTTGTGACTTAGAGTTAGAGACTACATCGCTCTTGTGAGAGATATCTGATATGGTTGGTGAAAGATACTCCTCAAGCAGAGTAGCGGGCTCTTTGGGGTCATTTAGAAGGGAGCTCCTACAGCGCCTGCTGGCCGACTGCTGGGCGGGGCGCAGAATGGACATAGGGGCCTTCATGACTCGAACAGGATTTGGGGATATAATAACATAATCTCTCATAATGTATCTCTGTAGGGGCCCATCTACGAAGCCTACGCGAAGTTCTAAAGTGACCTGCCAGCCACTCGAGTTACAACTCTGACACAGCATGTCAACACTTCCGACACCAATCTGAGGAAGTACGAACAACGGCGCTCCATCCCGTCAGTAGATTAGTTGACTAGCTGCTTGAAAGAGCAAGTGCTCTGGAGCCAAATGCCGGACTCTGCAGGCCAGTCGGGCATTGGTTCAAACGACGTTTCTCCCTCTAAGGCACCCAGTTCAGCCCTAAAATGCAGCACTCAAAGGCCTATTTATAGCTGCCTTGCATGACTAGCTATCTTCACTTTTCGGGGTGCCGGTGCCTTTCAACCTCTTTCGCGCCTTGTTTGGGGTGTCCTTATAGTACAGATTCTTTGTTTTCCGAAACTTTGTCAACACAAGTTCTTCTAGACGAGCACTTTCACGCAAAAAGAAGACTGGGCTCAGCCTTGGTTTTGCAGGTGCAGCGAAATGGTCGTCCCTTGCGCCAGCCACAAGCCCAGTAATGTGAGGTCGACTCAAAGTAAATGGCATGGTGAATTGAACTTTTCGGGTTACTTCTCTTGGCGTCTATATTAAGGATCCTGATTGAAGGTCTCTTTGCATGGAAACTCCCGTTGGTGGAAGGATCCTGACTTACATGTCTCATCGCTAGCGCCCAGCAAACGAGCAACTAAATGGACGGTTAAACTTATCAAAGCCCACCCAGAAAAGGGAGACGTCATCGGTGCAACTTAAAATCCGCTAATGTAGACCCCTGGCTAATTAAGCTCCTCCCCTTTACAATTACTGTAAGAAACCCCAAACCCTAAACCGGAGGTTTATACATGACGGGCTTACAGAAACGAAGCTCTGGCTTGTGATTTATTGTATTTATTGTGATTATTGTTTGCAGATGAACTTTCTGAATGTAAGCTTATACTCATTATTATTCTTATTTCAGTTGTTGTTGTTGTTGCTGCTGCTGTTGTTGTGGTTGTTGTGGTTGTTGTTGTTGTTGTTGTTGTTGTTGTTGTTGTTGTTGTTGTTGTTGTTGTTGTGATGAGTGTTGTTGTAAATTATAAATGGCATCATTATTGCTATTATTTATGACTATCATTGTTATTATGGTACTTGTACTGTTATTGTTTTTCTTCTCATTATTACTAAACTATTACTGTCATTAACATCATTACGATTGCTATTATGTGACCATTACGTGGGTACTGCCCCCCATACAGCAACAGTCTATAGTAGGGCTGCTGTTAAGGTCCTAAGATATCTATATTATGAATATTATCCAACTGTTACTGAGTGGGGGCCGTACCGTACCTAAACCCTAAACCCTAAACCCCTAATCCCTAAACCCTAAACCCCTAAACCCGATACCCTACACCCTAAAACCCTAAACCCTAAACCCCTAACCATTATTATTGTACCAGTAGTGTTATTAGTATTAGATGGTTACTATATGGCCACTACTATTGTTACCTTGGTTTATCACCGCATTGCATCATGGCCAGGAGCTATGGGGTCGTGCTGCGCTGCACCTGCGACCGAGAGGGTTTCCTGGTGGCAAGCTAGGGTTAGGGTTTGGGGGTTTAGGTTTTAGGGTTTGGGGCTTAGGGGTTTAGGGTTTGGGGTTTAGGGTTGAGGTGGTTTAGGGGTTTTGGTTTTAGGGTTTTAGGGCTTAAGGGTTTAGGGTTTAGAGTTGAGGGTTTTCTTACAATCAGGGCCTGCTGGGGCGAAGTGTCTTCGCGACGTATGAAGCCGTGCTTCAAGTACGTGTAGGAGGATGCGGCGGGCAGCGAGGCAGCTCACCGCCTGTGCGCGAAACCCTAGCCGCACAATGTTACCTGGCAGAATCGCAGTAAGAAGAAAGAAGAAACAGGACATACTCCAGCTTTAGCCATGTCGATGTGGAGAAATTGTCGAGACATTGCCGTCGCGACTCCTTCAACTGTGCAGTCTAATTAGTCTTTGGAGCCGTTCATCTTGGAGATGTCCTCGCATGTACATCTGCCTAAGTGAGTAAGCGTGTCCCCACAAATCACCCAGCGGCATGCCTTTTCAGCACATCCCAGGTTCATGCGTCCAACCCTCAGGGCCTTCGTTGTGCGGTTTCATGCGACACCGGTTTGCGGAAGTCAGAGACACTTAGATTTGAGCGGGGATGTAGGGATGCTATACGGTTGTATAATGGACTCCCGTAGTGCAGCTTCGGAAGAGCTTCGAACAATGTGTTGCGG